AGGATGCAGACTTCTTCCTGTACCACTGCTTGAAGAAGGTGTCTTCCAGAAACTGGCAGTAGGACTGGGAGTTGAGCTTGACTCCATCCTCAACCTGAAAAGGCCCCACAAGCTCATCTTTGATGATACCAGCCCAAACCAGTACTCCACCTCCACCTTGCTGGCGCCTGAGTCGGACTGGAGCTCTTTACCAATCCAGCCACGGGGGGATGATGTGGACAAAATACTCATTTGCCTAATAATTCTGCACTCCCTGTAGATTCTGAGCTGCAGGTTTCGTCTCTCTCCAACCAAAATTCACTGAACCAGCAGCAAAAGAAGATCAAAACTACCCTTCACATTTGATAAATGTCGTCCTTAATTCCCTCTGACTTTTGCTGTTTTGCTTTTATCACCATCAGTGTGATAAAATCACACTTCATGCACAGCTCTCTCTGTGTACTTCAAGAACAGTTTCCCATCTCAAATCTCTGTTTTCTGCATTATTCATTCGCTTATTACCCACCAGTCTACCATTTTTTACAGCGCTCTCAGCCGCTGTCCTTTTTTTTTTGTTTTGACTTTTTTACTGATTTTTTACTGATCTTGGACAAGAAAGCCTAATTTCTGCTGTTCAATACTGAAGAAATTTGTACTTTTTAAAATTGCAGAATAATTTTAAAGTTATCTGCTATAAAATCCCAGGCAAGGAAAATCACCTTCATGTTTTTCTGTGTTTTATCCTCAGTTACTTTGACACAAAGGCATCTGCTGTGATGCTTACACTTTTGATACAGTCTCGCGAGTGTCAGTTGTCTTTTTATAGATATAAAAATATGGAAATGTACTGATACATGATCAGAATTATAATATTTCTGGCTCAGGCAAAATCAAAATCAAAATCAAGAAGGTTGGCTACTGTTTGTCCGTGATTTGGACAGCGCAGCGTGTGTTCCTCACACAGGGGAAACAAATTCTGTCAGGGAGACCTACCTTGTACTTGTGCAGGTGAAGCCAAAGGGAAGACATGCTTCATCATATTTTCTAGTATTTGGATTGGAAGGAAGTTGGTTTGGGAACATATTTGGCAATGCTTTATCTCCTGCTTTGCGGTTGTGTGGGCGCCCCAATGTCCAAGCATTTTTTTGTTGTTATTGTTTTTCACATTCATACCGCACCCCCTCCCCCCTGCAATGGCTCTGCACCCCCCTGTGGCGGAAAGTGGAGTAGTCGAGACACCCGGCTGTTCCTGTATCACTGGAAATCGCGGGAAATCATGTAGTCATGCAGCTGTTACTCTGTGGAAGGTATATCACCTATGTGGATATCAAAATGTTTAAATGACTGAAACAGAAACTCTGGAAGGCTGTGATTGAGGAGTCACGATGCTGCTATCTAGTTACCCACATAGCAAGGAAGTCCGGCCCAGATCTGGTATCAAGCTGGCACTGCTGGCTGACTTCTGGCATGATAAGATGTATGTCATCCAGATATGGGCCAGGCGTGGCATAGATGGCACTGTCTATGTGATGGCATGCCATATCGGGCTCGATTGTGATTTGGTTTATGTGGCCCAGGCCCATAGAAAACAGGTCTAGCCCTGATCTGGCATCAAGCTGGCACTTCTGACTGACTGGTGTAATGGCAGAGTGTATGTCAACCAGATGTGCGCCATGTCTGGCAATGATGGCATTATTTATGTTCCTATTTTCCTATTTGAGAAGACCCATATGCCATGTTGCAATACTATACTGTTATGGTAGCTAACGTTTCAAATGCATGTTTGACAGGTTTGTGAGTTTACACTTTATCCAAAACCTGTAGCTCAGGAGGTAAAGCATGTCACCTCCTGATTGGAAGGTTAGTGGTTCGATCCCTGGCTCCTCCAGTCTGCATGTCAAGAGTCTGAATGTGTAAGAATGTAGTTAGGAAGCACTCGGTTTAAAGAAGATGTGTGATTGACTGAATGTGGAATGTTGTATACAGCACTTTGAGTACTCTGGGAGACCAGAAAAGTGCTATATAAGAGTCACTCACTATCTGAACAGAGTTTCGTCATGTTACTTTCGCACTATTTTGCATGTTCTGGCACATGTTGTTAGTACATGGCTTGATTATTGTACACATTAGGCTGACATCTGGGTCCAGAGCTGAAACTGTTCTGGGCCAGCGCAGGACCAGAAGTGTGTCTGCAACTGGCCTTGTGCTGACCCATGTGTGGACCACATCTGGCAAACCAGATCTGGGGCACCAAAGGGCCGTCATTCTTTGGGGTATGTGGACCATGTGTAAGCACACTGTGTGGGCTAGGTCCGGGCCATACCAATTTTGCTATGTGGGTAAGTGCTGCGTGGAGCTGTTGACTGTTTACATGTGGAAGCCACTCATTGTTTAAACTTTGTGTGGGCTGTATGCTGTACAATCACACAAAGATAAAATTAATATTCTTATAATATTTTAATAAAATATTATAAGAAAATGTGACACTGCGTAGTATATGCAGAATATAATAATGTGAAAAAAATTATCAAAAATTATCAAAAAGCAACTCACTATTGATATGAAATGGAAAATATGGGTGACCTTGCCAGTACTTTTATTTCAGTGGTTTAGATATGTTTCAGGTGTGTTGACCCAGGGTCATATCTAAAACATGCAGGACACCAGCCCTTTGTCCACCCCTGATATAAACAGACACAGTAGTACTTTTGTTAGTGTAAATTTCCTCATGATGTTAAATCTTGAGTATTGACAGTGAGAAAATACTATTAATGTTTGTTGCAGGTGCAGAACGCTGTGATGAGTGGAAAGACGAGGCTTGCATGTACAGACGAGCAGCGCAGGTGGAATGCAGGGACAGAAAAGAGGCTTGAATCCAAACGTCTAAGACAGATAAACTAAGATAAACTAAGACAGACGTCACAGGGCAGAGCAACAGTGCAATGTGAACTCCCAGTGTGCACCATATCACCTTGCACACCAAGACTTTATTGATAGTTCAATAAAGTCTAGTGTTAGCAAAGCACCAATGAAACCTCGCCATCACTGCAACAGTAAAGTTAGCAATTGAGCTCATCCTCGAACAGGTAAAGCCGCTAATTACAGCACAAAGTAAACAATTTTTTTGTTAGCAACGAGTGAACGCTGGCTCTCACTTTGAGTAACCGGACTGCGGAAGTACTGGTCTGTCATGGCAGCCTACGTATGTTCTTACAGAAACCTGTGGGTCAATAGCAAAATGCCAACCAAAAACAAACATTATATGATAACATTTGACATTTGCTTGCTTAGGAAGCGGGGATAATGACAGCGACAAGAGAGCGAGATTTGAGATGTGAGATTTGTGACATTAGCTTGTTTGGAGTGTGTAGTTGGTTTGTAGTGTAGTATTTTTTGCTTGTTTTTTGTATTATGTGTCAAAACAATAAGGTGGCTGTTGAATGACACAGATGCTGGCCAAATAGCCACGACAGGGACACTGAAATGTAAATGCTGTCTCTGCGTGGAAAACAGACAAAGTGATACAGCTCCTGTTGTCAAGTCTTTGGGTCTAAGGCCTGTCCTTCAGTCTCGTGGTGGAATGGCACAAATAATTTGTGTAGCACCTTATTATGACACCTGATAGTTCTAAAGGAAAAAGTTTTAAATAGTTGCACAAAAGACACCCCAGCCATTGCATGTATTTTTTAAGTTTGCACAATTCATATATATTTTTTTATAATTTATATTTGCATCTCAAGTTATAAAAATGATTCCTTAAATGTGTTTGTTTTCACAGTAAAAAAGTAATAATTTTTGCCTACTTGGATTTTATGTTTTTCATGCAATAGAAAGTAAATGTTGTCAATACAATATGTCGAAATTGAAAAAAAAAGTAAAGACATGTAAGGTTGTGCTGAAAAGAAGTCTACCAAACAAGGTAAGGTAAACACCTTTTAAAGGTGAAATATAAATGTAGTCAAAAATTATATTCAAACATTTTAAATTATATTGTATTTTTTTTTCCTTAGAAAATTGAGCTTACCTCCACAGGATAACGTTGGCCATTGATACTGTGTTCAGAGCCCTCCGATCCATTGCTTGTACCCCAATGAAACTCTACTTTTTCTGCCTTAAACCTCCCTGGTAGACCTGCTCCCCGAACAAAGTAATGATCTTTCAACATGATGGCGACTGGAAGAAATACAGAAGAGGAGAGAAAAAAAAACAGTGATTACCCACATAGCAGGCAGGTCTGGCCCGCATCTGGCGTCAAGCAGGCACTGCTGGCTGACTTCTGGCATGGTAAGTGGTATGTCATCCAGATATGGGCCAGGCCTGGCACTGATGGCACTATTTATTTTCCTATTTTCCTATTTTAGTTAGAAGACCCAAATGCCATGTTGCAATACTATACTGCTATGGTAGCCAACGTTTCAAATTCAAATTCAAATTCAAACCAGGTTTCACAGGTTTGGGAGTGTACACTTTATCCAAAACCTTGTAAGGGTTTACTCATGCTTCCCACTGGGTGGCTGTAGCTCAGGAGGTAGAGCAGGACACCTACTGGTTGGAAGATTAGTGGTTTGATCCCTGGCTCCTCCGGTCTGCATGTCAAGAATGTGAATGTGTATAAATGTAGTAAGAAAGCACTAAGTTTAGAGAAAGTGTGTGAATGTGGCATGTTGTATAGAGCACTTTGAGTAATCCAGGAGACTAGAAAAGTGCAATATAAGAATCAGTCCATTCACTGTCTGAACAGAGTTTCGTCATGTTACTTTTGCACTCCTATGTTCCGGCACATGTTGTTATTACATGGCTTGATTAAGGTACACATTAGGCTGACATCTGGGCTCAGAGTTGAAACTGTTCTGGGCCAGCACAGGACCACCAGTGTGTCTGCAAATGGCCTTGTGCTGGCCCATGTGTGGGCCACGTGTAAGCCAGATCCGGGCCATACCAATTTTGCTATGTGGGTAGATGAAAAAAGTGAGCTTTGATTTATTACTTATCAGATTTTTCAGCAGACATGGAAATAATTTCTCTTTAAAAACAGATACAGAAACAAAAATGTGACATCTATCAATGACATGAAGACAATTTCAAAGGTTCCTTGAAACACCATCAGAATGTGGGCACGTGCACAGCATGAAACAGCTTTACATGCATAAATTAAAGAAACATATTCTAAGACATGCTAAATATAGGTCTGTTTCTCCTTCAGATTTTCTCTGAGGAATACATCCTCACTAAAGATCATTTCCGTCAGTTTCCAGCAGCTTATAAAGCATATTCTCACATGTGGGGCTAATTTGCCAGGCAGAATTGTTTTTCAGTTGCTTACAGTGTCCCTTACAGGGTCCTTTGTCATTCTATTGCAATTTTCTGAGATATAGAGAGAATTGAAACACTATGCTCGCCTCTGTCAGTGCGCCCCAGGGCGGCTGTGGCTACACTGTAGCTTGCCATCACCAGTGTGTGAATGGGTGGATGATTGTGTATAGTTTAAAGCGCTTTGGGGTCCTTAGGACCAAGTAAAGCGCTATACAAATACAGACCACTTACCATTTATTTTCACATTCACAAGTGGTGTTAGGGTTAGTGCTGTGTGACAGGCAGGACGAGGCTAAACCCAAATGGGGCCAGCTCCTGATGGTTGCTGCCTTTTATTGGGAAAACAGTTCACACAATACACTAGTACCTCCCCTCGTAAACCCCCCCGGTTACAAAGACAAGGCACTGTATGTATATGTGTGTGTGTGTGTGTGTGTGTGTGTGTGTGTGTGTGT